ATGGTTAAGCCTAAGGATGGTAAAGCAAAGGTAAAGCAAAAGGATGGAAACATGAGTGTTCCTCACAAGAGATCTAGGTATTGGCATTGCTGCTATTGCAGCACAGAACCCTTAGCAGACCAAAACATAAATTAAATGTTTGTCCAATTTCCTCTGAAGGAAAAACAAGAAAGAAATTTTTCAGAGAAATAGGATTACAGTTAAGGGCAATTTTTCAGGCTTCTAGGAATTTTTAATTCCTGAGATTCAGTAATTGAACAAAACATAAAACCCAAAACCAAGGAAAAGAATAAAAGAGAACATCTAAATGTATGATTTAAATATCCAATACTTCCATGCATATTTTCCCTGTCATTTAATAATGTAGCCCTGTTGTCTAGTTTGTGTACTCTGCTTCTGACCCTGAGAGCTTGGTGGATTGCTTGGTGGAACTGTTTCCAAAGGGTTGGTCTTTCAAGAATACAGAAAGAGAAAATTACTGATTTTGAAAAACTGACTTAGATAACATTTTATGATGTCTTTAAGCTACAAATAAATATTCCAAGTAACACCCAAATGGAGGAATAATGTAATGTAAGATACAGTAATGCAAATATGTTCATTAAAATTCTGAATGATTCTGAATTGTATTTACATGTAAGCAATGGCTCTTAAACAGCTTAAAAGACAATCAATATTCAATGAATACCTTCTTTCTTTGCTTTGGGTTGAATTTAGACAACTCTATTTTATTCTTACTCCTGAGCAGAGTAAGAAGTTAGAGTTAGCCCTAATTTACAGAGATACTATTTTGTTTGTTGTTCTTACAACAATGTTGTCCTGAAATCCTCTGGATAGGTTCGGCTGATTCAGTTCCAGAATCTATATTTATAAGAGTAAGCTCTTAGAAATTAATTACTTATATCTTCCTTTGCAGGTTTATATTTTCTTTAGGAAATGTGCTGTCAAGTGCTTTGAAAGAAGTATTTCATATTTTTCTTTCTTAGGCATTTCTATCACCTCTTGAACAGAAAAAAAGGAAACTTTTGAAGAAATCTAAAGAGAATATGAAAATGTAGCTGTCTTTCAGAGCTTGCCCTGTCAGATATTTGACTGCTGTAAATCAGCAATCAGCTCATAGAGTCTGAGAATGAAAATAAGTAAAGGAATGTTTTTTCAGTCCTCTCTGCAGGATCCTCTTTCAGCAGATTAAGGGTCAAATGCATTTAAAAATCAGCAGGAGAGAAATCTTGCATTGTCACAGAGCATTTCTGGGAAGTGCTCGGCGTTAGCCACTCTCCTGTTGTGCAAATGAAAGAAAAAAAAAATCATTTTAAGTAGTTTTGTCTCTGAGACTAATTAAAGTGCATAGTGAAATGTGGGAAGCAAAACAATGTTCCCTGGTCTCTGGCTGTCTGGCATGTCAACATTCAGCAGTAGAGGAAGTATTAAGTTTCAGGACAGAGACCAAACTAATGAAGGTTGCAGAGAATGTAGAAATAACATTTTGGCCTGGGAGTATGGGGACTGGAGGCTAAGGTAGATAAGTTAGCAGTTCTTTAGCGTAAAATATCCCCTTTTTATTCTATAACTGGGATGGTCATAAGACTCATTTTAATCAAAGGCTGCATAAAGGTTACTGTTTCCACTTGAAAGCATGTTCAAATCTGAAAGGTTGCTTAATATCCCAGCTCCCAGTGTGATGCCAAAGTGCCTCTTTGGCATTAGCCTGTGGTACTATGAAATGACCTCTTCACCTGGAGAACTGTTGCAATCATGTTTGTCAGCAAGATGGTTGTCATGTTTCATTGGTAAAGACATGAAGCTTTTATTGCATATTTGCTTTGGAGGAAATTGTCCTCAAATAAACAACATAAGGACAGTACTATTAGAAGGAGTTCAAGGAAAAGGAAAAATAAACACAGAGATTTTCTCTCTGTCTTGGGATTAAAATAATGACTTAAAAGCAATGTCACGTTCATTGGCATTCATTTTTTTTTCATATTAGATTTTTATTTCTATTTTATTGCATTACAGAAACTCCACTTACTGTATGAAAGTGTCCATTTCGCTGACGGTGGGTGAAAATGACACTGGACTCTGCTACAATTCAAAGATGAAGTACTTTGAAAAAGCTGAACTTAGCAAAAGCAAGGAAATTTCATGCCCTGAAATAGAGGATTTTTTATTTCCATTTAGAGAGCCTGAAATCCTCTGGTATAAGGTAAGGAATGCAAAGATTTTTATCTTTGACAAGGTATTATGCTGTGTTCTGCTCGTTCCCATGATATAAATAAATATGATATGCAACTTGGATATTTTTAAAGATTTATTAAAAAGTAGTCACCAGAATGGATACATAGAAGAGTAGGAAAATGAACTAAACAAGAAACAGATTCAAATTCTTTCTTTAGTAAACTTCAGATTTAGTGTTTTGTTAATATCTTTTTTATGGATATCATAAATAATTGGCAGCTTTCTGCTAATGAGAGGGCAAAAAAGCCCATTTTGCCAGTCTGGACTGAGCTGATATGCTAATAAAAAGTCATGTAAACTGTATATACAGCAACTGCTAGTCCCATACCAGGCTGCAGGGCATGTTTCTAGAACCTCAGACATACAGTCTCCTTGGGAAAATAAATAAACAAGCTGTGTATGCTATTATCAAATTACCTGAGTTTTTACAACACAGAATTCAGCAATGACTTCCTAATTTTTAGTATGGGTATATTAACTCTTACTTGCAGTTATCAGTAACTGCATAGTTTTCATTAATAGCTTTATTTCAATATTGTATATTGATTTCTACCTCTTAATGATCAAGTCCTAGAAAAAAAAAAAAAAAAGGAAAATATAGCATTTTGGTAATAAAATTTAAATTATAGTTGTTATTATTTTGTTGATACTGAGCTTACCTAATCTTCAAAGAGCTTTGATTCTAAATGTTTTCACAAAGATATATATAACTTGTCCTGGCTTCTCCTCATTCTCGTCTTTCTGTTTCTCTCAATTTTTAGCCATCATTTTATTAAAACAGAACAACAAAAAAAACAACCTTTCTCCCTTGAAATCTGTACCTATTGGTAATATAACAGTCACGGATCACAAACATAATTGTAAGAGCAAATAAATAAATGAAATAGGAGCTCCTCAACAAACTAATGGCAAAGAAAATCACAGAATCACCAGATGACCAGAGGAATCAAATCCTCTTCTTCTTGTCTTTTTCTTGACAAATGTTATGTTTTTGTTTGTTTGTTTGTTTGTTTGTTTTTAAAACAACACTAAACTAATGTAATGAGATATTTGAGATATTTAGTGTATGTAAAATTCATTAATATGTTGAGTTCTTTTCTAGACTTCTTGTTTGGAAAAACACTGAGAGTGTAGTCTGGTTGAAGTAGAAGAACAGAGTCACTGAAGTGTTATATTATCTTTAAACAGGAATGCAAATCAAGGACATGGAGATCAAGTATTGTATTTAAAAAGGACACTCTTGTCATTCGGGAAGTTAAAGAGGATGACATTGGAAATTATACTTGTGAGTTAAAATATGGAATCTTTGTTGTCCGAAGAACTACAGAATTAACAGTTACAGGTAATTATGGGTTCTTTCTATCCATTATATATAGAAAAAAGATATTGAATGTTGTAATTTGGGATGTATTTGAATCTACTTAAACCTAAAGGCACAAAAGGCTAAAGGCACAAAACTTTGCTGTATGCTGATGTAGGAACAGTGGATATATAAAATTACACTAGTAACATCTAATGTTTTCAACAAGTCTTGAGTTTTTGCCTGTGGCAGTAGTCCATGGCAAGGTCATGTTTCTGATTGAAAAATAGGCACAAGGAACAGGTAACTTCAGCATCATTGCCTCTAATGGAAAGTAAGATCATGAAGTTGATCATAGTTTTTCTTGTGGTTAAATGCCTTGAGATATTAAGAATATATGTACTGGATCAGATCAAGTTAAAATTCTGTTTAGTCTGTCTAGGTCAATGCAACAATGTAATGGACACTTAAGGAGTAGTATCGGGACAATGTGTGAATGAAGCATGGTATCATTCTTTCTCTGTTATTCTCTCCCAGGTTTCTGTAGTTAGTAGTTCAAGAACTTCTTGATCTCAATCATCATGTGTAATAGTTACCAATTAACATATTTTCCATTAGTCTGATTTTTTAACCCACTTATCCTTGGCTTCAACAACATTTTGAAACATTAACTTTAACAGTGCAATTACATAACAAAAAATAAACTGTATAATCTCGCAAACAGCAATGGAAGAAGATGCATTTAATGCAGTTTGCATTTAAAGTTACCATATCAACATACAAATCCATCATAGCTGAAAACAAAAATATATACAGTATGAGGGATGCAGAATATTATGAACAACAATCAATTTCAATTGATTCAATTCAATTCAATTTTTCCATTTCTCACTACATCTCTAACCTCTGTTTTATAAAAATATAAAACTATATAGCTATACCTAAGGTAGAGAATTAGCTTTTGCAGTTATGACACTGGAAGACAGGATCCATGATCTATGTAATGTGATGTAGTTCCATGTCATATTCTCTAAAACAAGGCAGGAACAGGATTTTTGGGTGAAACTGAATATTATCTAAATTCATACTGTTCATAAAATCGCTTGCTTGTGCACTCTTTGAGTATCAAGTAAGCAAAAGAATCTTGTAGAAGGCATTCTGTGGGGCTTTTATTGTTACATTTGAGTAGCTGATACAGAAATATATTGTGTGCTGAGTATTAGTGACTGCATGTATGTTATGCATTAAGTTGAGCTGTAACAGTGAGATTTTTGCCACTTACATTATCAGAAATTACAGTGAAAAATAGTTTGTAATTTTCTTCTAGTAGATTTGTCTGGCAATCATATTGTTTATGTTGTTTTGAGAGAATGCAGGTGATCAATCATATTTATTTAATCTCAATATTCAAGATCTCTTCATATTTTTTCTTGTATATGGAATTGATTTATTTGGTCAGTACAGACAGGCAATTACTGTCTAGTGATTAACCTCAGCGTAAACATCCATATACTTGGTTGGTTTGACCGTCATATGCAAAAAGCAGAAACAGAGTCCTCAAGAATTTCGTTTATATCAGAGGGAGGTTGTCAGTTATCTTTTTCAATATATGATGTATGGACTCAAATGGTACATAGTCCTCAGGTGATCCCTGCAGTCACTGTGACGACTCACAACAGGGATCACCTGAGGACTATGTACCATTTGAGTCCATACATCATATATTAGCAGTCTCTGTGCAGGGGGAACAGCAATGTTTAAAGCAACACAACTGGATGCATCTTACTGTCTGTAGTAATGATTAAAAAAAAAAAAAAAAGAAGGAAAAAAAAAAAAACTCACTTGTGGTATAGGTAAGAGTTCAGTGTTTAATGTTTAACTACGTAGGGAGAGAAAGAGATGTGACTGATTCTGATGTGCCAAAAATGAATGAATGCTTATGGAGGGAATGAATGAATGCTTATGGAGGGATACGTATAATTTCCAAGTAGTCTGGAAACGCTGCCAGATATCCAGACAACCCCCAAACTGCTTTGGTAGTACTGTAGGTCTTCATATCGTCCTTATTAGTATAATGAGACTAAACAGAATTAACAGACCTTTTCAGAGTACTAGTAATTTTAAACTACAGCTGTACTTACGTCATTATATAACTTTTTATCATTTCTTCATCAGAATTTAATACTTTACATGTCAAGTTTAGTTTAGTTTTGTTTTGTCCGGGCAGAAGAGGTATATTGATTGTTTGCTTCTTTTGAAAAGGAAATTTAATTTAGGAATTTAGAAATAAATGTTGTAACTAAAATAAAAGTAACAAATTAAACTGATAGTTGAACACTTTACTATATTAATGAATACTTACTTAAAACTAAGGGAAGATGGGTCTTTTTAGCATGCAATCTATCTCTTACATTGGACTAAAGCATATATTGTGGACTGATTGTATTTGGGGCATTTAGGAGCTCTTTTCTTTGTTTATTTTTTTACATTTCTTCTAATTCTCCCACGTCTCCAAGTAGTAGTGGTAAACAATGTATTTGTCAATTGTTGATAAAAACAAATTCCATCAATAATTCTCAGCTCCAAAAAAGACAGAAAAAATATTTCTAAGGCATTTGAAATTGCTATGGCAAACATTTTTGGTTTAAAATAAAAGAAAATCAAAAGTATGACTAAGCAAATTGTTTTGAGAATTGGTTGTCTCAGACTTTCCATAAATTTTAACATACATATTGGGTAATCTGTAAAGAGTTTATCAAAATGAGACATAAAAAGAGAAAAAAGAAATATAAAATATTATAAATAGTAACTATAAGAATATATAAGAATAAGTATATATACCTATAGCTATTGAAAATCTCTAACCCCCATATAGAGACTGTTTTTTCTACCTGTTGTAGATTGAGAAAAAAATGTTGCCCTTTGTGGCTTAAATTGTATGTATTGAATCGCATCTTACACACACCTTTAAAGTAACAAGCATAAAATAATGACCACTTTTAGTGGTCACATTCTTGATTTTATGAAAAATATCTTGTAATGGCAATCACATTAGCTATGTTTTCCTTACCACAAATCAATACATACTTTATTTCTACTTCAAAATGTAGTTTTGTCTTAGAATATCCAGCAGTTTTCTATTAGGACTTTTTTTTAAAAAAAAAAAATAAGACAACAACAAAAAAACTAATGTTACTTGGAAAATCTGTATCTTACATTGGAAATATCACTTAAATGATCTGAATCATTTTTCATTTTTTTTCACTTGCATCTGACTTAGAAATTATCTACTTTGCAACGTGCAAACTGTACACACTGATTCTTACAGCTTGTCATTAATGAAAATATTCACATAAACAACATAATTGATGGTTCTTGGTTTGCTATTATGTAATCATGCATTTAAAAAGTGGTGCAATATAGTAAATCTTTTGTAGACATCTACACCAACAGCCTGGCTAGCATTAGTAATTTTTTTTTGATGTGTGGTATATCAGCTTCCTGTGACAATCTTGATTAAGGACATGTTCAGATGGGGGAAAGGTTCATATTTTAATAGCACACTATTAGTTTGCTAGGGAGCTTTTTCCAGCAGAAATTTATTTTGGTTAAATGTTAAGGTTACTGTTATTCTTTCTGTTGCCTGTACAACTAAGATATTTACAAGCACAAAGTCTTTCAGCCTTTGCAGAATATCATGCAGGTCAAAGGAAGGCCAGCTTGAGTCTAAGAGATAGTGTATATGCACCCCACTGCAATAACAAAATATCTATTCTTGATGCATATGATAAAGCAAACGGACCATGCCAACTTGCAGCTGGAGCATTACTTATTCAATCTTTCAGTGACTTTTTTTTAGTTTTAAATGTATATATTTTTTCCATTCTGTTACAATAAGTCCTCATACCTTGCAGATGAAATCAGAACTAATCAGTAGGTTCTTACTTCTGAATTCTTTTCTCACACATTTTGTTGTCTTTATTCATTTATTAGTTCCCTTAAAATCACCTTGAAAACAACTTCTATGGGAATGAGTATGATTTTGGATTTAGTGATTTGAATGTGCTCACTAACAAGCTAATAATGAATAAAAATAATGTAAATTGATAAGAATCTTTTCATTATTTACATTTAGCCTGCTTGCCCTAAGACACTTGTAACAACCTTGAAAATACCAGCTTATTCTTTCCCTCTGCTGTTCATGACTTCTTTCTTCACTAGGTTTGTAGGCAAAATGAGTGTTAGACTGTCATTTTTATGCTTCACTGTTATACTACAGCTGTCTCTATTAGTGTTGTTTAAAAGTTGGTGTTTGTTGAACAAGCTTTGTTTCTTTTGCTTTCTAAAAGATTTAGTCGTGATCATGACAGTAAAAAATCTTAATCTTAAATGACTATATGCCACTCTGTATTTTTAGTGCTGAAAACTCCGCCATGAAAGTAAACACAATGAAAAAAGGTAATTATAAAGATACTAAATTTCTAATATAACAGCTCACTTAATTGGGGTCTTCTATATCTCTAGAGAATATACACATAGCCATTTATGACTTGTTGAAAGGGGACATGGAAGGTTATATCCTGCCTAAAGTGATCTGTATTTTAATCACGTAAGACAAAATGTGCTCACTTTTGTCCCCCAAATGCTAGAATTGATTATCCACTTCCAATGTTCCATCTCCTTCAGAATACAGAAAGATGCTGCAATAAACATGTATTATTTATTTCGATGCGGTGTTAAATGAGAAAAATATTAAGGAACAATGCTTTTCCAAGCGTTCATGCCTTGAGAACAGATTCTGCTTAGTCTCTGCAGCTAATGCTGGGAATAAACCATTTTGGATGCACCCAGGACCTCGTTTTACTTATTTAAGCTGATCCCTGTGATTATCAGAGTTCATACTTATTTCTTTTGTCCTTCAAGAATTAAATTCAACTCTTGAATACGTTCAGAGAAAAATTACGTTCACTGTTATTGTTCTATGGAAAGACTAATAAAAATAAACCAAACAATTCCCTCCTTATGAAAGCAGCGCGTTCAAA